TCTTCTTATAATATAATAATTATAATAATATTATTATGTCCTCTTTAATATACAACCAATAATGAAAATAGCTGGGGAGCAGGAAGGGCAGGAATAAGACATAGCTTAGATCACAGTTACATTGGAATGTTGCTTTTCCAATTAGTTTGCAGAACGTGTCATGCTGGTCGATATTCTCTTCTCAGCTGAAGATAGCATCATTGTCTGATTTATGTTTTGACTCATCTCCCTGTCCCTTTACGTTAATCGTCTGCTGTTGATAGCCATTTAACTAAATGTGTCTAGGGAAATAGGGCGCATAACAGTAATGTGGAAGACAAGGATTATAGCCATTACCCACAAAGAACAAAGGATTTTATATGTTTAAAAGAGATGAGCCAACTATTCCCATTGAAGAAAAAAGCTGACCTCTGTGCTACCTCTAGTCTCTCGGTGTAAATTGCATGAAATAAAAAAATTGCATGTTCTTGCAATTGTCAAGTTATTATTGTTGTATAATTTGAGTCCTGACAGTGAGCAATACAAAACAGAAGACCCCATCCCATGGAATTTACAATAATTTATTATAAAATGTATTACCTTCAGCTCTCCAAAATAGTTCTCTCCTCTACCCAGCTAAAACATGTGTGCAATCTTCACTCCTGCCCTGGAGTCTAGCTAGCTAAAGGGGGGACATGATAGCGGTTTTCAAATATCTAAAAGGGTGTCACAAGGAGGAAGGAGAAAATTTGTTCCTCTTGGTTTCTGAGGACAGGACAAGGAGTAATGGGCTTAATGATCTGTGGATTTAATCAAAGTCTGGTAACATTGCAGCTAACTGGGCTTTTCACAATATATACCTTTTTTTGCAAATATTGTCTACCTTACATGGAAATGTTCATTTTTTTTACATGAACATTCATGGACAATGGTAAATCCTTTGAACTACCCTGTTTAACATCATTTGGGAATATAGTAAAAGCTGTCCAAATCTTTGGCAAAGCCAGTAGAAGTTCCCTCCTGTCTTTCACGTCTATCACAAGTTTTTGTGGCACCCAAAATACAGCTGCTGATTCTGTTCTTATCCCGAAACAATTAGCTCTGCAAAGCTGGGTTAGACACCTTATGAGAGAGAGGGCCTTTCTCATGAGATTTCCAGTCAGGCCATAAATACGAGATTCCCAACCTCACTTAAAGCATTTAATCTACTCTCTTTTTAACCATGTGTAGAACCAGGAGGAACAGATACATGTAGAAACTATACTACTATTACTACTACTTTTAAACTACAACTAAATTTAAAAATTTAAACTTACTTGAACTTAAAAGGTTTTGAAGGGGATTTTCAGACGCTCCTAGGTGATTTAGGAGTACATCTCTATGGATGCTTCTAAATCATTTAGGCACTTTCTAAAATCCCACTCTTTTGTCATTGAGTTATTAGTTTATCAAAAATCATTTTCAGGACTTGGAGAAGGGAGGCAGACAGCTTATTGAACAAATCTATAGGTCCTTACTTAATATTCCTCACTTTTTTCCTTCGTATTTTTCCAGACAAACTCCTAGAAAATCATGTGAAAATCAAGATCCATTTATAATCTAAACCCTCAAAAGATAATTTAAAATTAACTACTAAAATTTTAGTGTTGGTTCTCTGCCTAGGAGTGAATTTCAGTCTCAGGAAGTGAAGTCTAAAGAACCCAACTTTTAGATTGCAACATCTGCTGTCTACTTGGTGGTCCATCCTTTGCTTAGCACAGGTCTGCGCTTTTGTACATTGTATTTTTAATTTAAAAAATAACAGAGTTAAAGCTTTTAGTCCTTGAGCTAGTTGAAATATTTTTCATTAAATATTTTAGTTGAAAAAAAATGTCCCTTTAAAATGATTTTATGTATTTATTTACTAGAAGACTTACCAGGCATTGTTCGGGTCCTTCAGGCTAGGAAGTTGGGGGTAGGGTACCAGAGTTAGGACAGGGGCTTGGGGATGTGGAAGGGTCTGTGCAGGAGGCTGGAGGCATGGGGGCGGGAGTGCAGAAGTCAGCATTAGGAGGTGAAAAAGGGCTCAGGATATGGGTGGGATGAAGTCATCAGGGCAGGAGATTGAGAGGTGTGGGAGATTGAGAGGTGTGGGAGCACAGTGGAGGGAATGGGGAGCTCAGGGCAGAGGGCAGCTGGTAGCTACTCCTCAGGGCAAGTCTGAGGTGGCAGGAATTGTGCAGCCTGCCCACAAACTTCTCCCTGGGGCCAGCCTGGGGCCAGCCTGGGGCCAGCCTGGGGCCAGCCTGGGGCTGGCCCGGGGCCGCAGAGGCCCGGCCAGCAGCTGCTCCTCAGGACAGACCAGGGAGGTGGGGACCGTGCTGATTGACAGCAGCTGCTCCCCAGTCCTGGAGTGCTTGCTGCCCTCCTCTCCCCCCCCCCCCCCGCCGTGGTCATTCTGGGTAGAATTGTGTCCCATTCTTGCTGCCCCCTTGTGGTCACTGTGGCGTATAACTGTCCCTGCTATAACACTCCTCCCTTTCCATTTGAAGAGAAACAATCACATTCCATGCACACCCCAATGTCCTGGCACAACCAAACCCCAACCTTGCTTTAAATTATGGTACCAGGAAGTTGCACACCAAATTTGGTGGTCCAAGTTCTTATCATTTAGGAGGAGTTCCTGAACAGTCTCATAGATGGATGGGCAGAGAGATGCACAAACTCTCTAAATTATATATAGTAGAATTTTTTTTATGTATTGCTAATTTATTTGTGGAAAAATTGGTGACCTTGATATTTTCAATTTTTCCCAATAATTTTGCAGTGTTTTTTTCCTACCATTGTTATTGAAATATTTTGTGTACTGAAAACCATCTTTTATTATTGCTTTTTCCCACAAATGACAAATTTTAAATATATGTTGATAACAGTATCTGTTCAAATAGTGCCCCAAATATCTCCAGAAGTGTAAAATAGGTCTATTCCAAACTCTATTAAGGAGAAGAACTTCAGAAATTTGCATGAAAATGTGTGATTATTTGCTTTGTGGCTGTGTATGGCACTGACAGCGAAGCTCTGGGTCTTCTATGGGTTACTTAGAATAAGT